CACATGCGCTCTGGAATGGGCAAAAAGGGGCTGTAGAGCAGGGGAGCATGCAACGTAAGAGGCCGTTGTTGGCCATAGGTGTCCGGCAGGATGAGGCTGGGGACCATGATGCATCCCCTTAGGGCTCGGTGCTGAGGTCTGGAGGCAAAGACCGGCGGGTCAGTGGCGTAGAGGCATGGAGGCGGGTCAAGGCGCTCCTGTTTGCGATGATTCAAAAGAGGCCTCGCTCGTCACGCAGAAGAGACTGTCTGAGGCTGAGGCTGGGTCTGAGGCTGGGTGGCTGGGTGTATCGTCCTTCCCGCGTTGAGCTCGTGTTGGACCCATAGGCTAAGGTTCCAAGGGGCTAAGTCGGGGACTGTGCAAGAGAGGTCATCCCGATAGGCTGTATACCATGGCCAGTCCACCTCATACATCGCGTGCTCGGGGAGCTGGCCTCCGTAGGCGTTCACCCAGGGCTTGCCCCGGTAAATCATCACCGAGCCGAAAGGAGGCTCAGGCTTGGTGCCTGTATAACGAGGCTGCAGAAGTGGGTCTAACTCTAACTCTCCGTCCTGAGGCTCCCAAATGTCAGAGTTGATGTTTTCAATAGGCAAGCGTACGCCATCGTCGGAGATGAGGCCATGAATCTCCGGAGGCCTGACGGGCTGAGGCTCCGTCTGCTCTGGGCAACGCTGGGGAGGCAACCGTGAAGGCTGGGCTGGCTCGGCTTTGGGAGGAGGCGTCGGCATGGCCTTGACTTGTATCGGGGGAACGGCTGGCTTGGGCAAATACTCTTGCTGGGACACGGGTCTCAGATACTGTCCCTGAGGCTGCTTGTTGGTTTGCTTTGCTGGGTCCGAGGTGGCTGGTGCGGGATCGTCATCGGCTTCATCCTGAGCGTCCGCCCAAGCCTCCTTGGTTGAGGTTGGGGGCTTTGAGGCTGGCGCCGAGGCAAGGATGGGCTCCTCTGAAGGGTCCGCCCACTGTGGGCAGAAAAACTGAGGAGGCCGAAGATCCCCGAAGGCTGATTTAGGCGCCCACTGTCCTTGTATGCGGAATATAGGCTTGCGCTTGATGAAGGCCCAAAGCTCGAATCGGTTCAGAGGCTTCTCGGACTCGACCGACTCAGGCTCCTTCCGCGGTTGCAGGAGGCGATGCCGGCTATGTCACCAAAGGCTACCGCTCCGCCAGTGATCTTGTATAGGCATGGGGTCTCTCCCTGTAGCCAGGGCTCCGACTGCTCTTGAGAGGCTTGCTCCGGCTGCTCCGCAGGCTGTGGGGAAGGTTGGGCCGGAATAGGCGAGGACGAATC